ACACTGCTGGACCGAAGATCCAGAATAGGATTGAAACGGCACTTGGGCCAAATGCGCGTGCAAGAGCATTAATTGACCGCAGCTTGCCCATGGCCTGGCCCTTTTAGTAGAATAAAACGGTGTTGCTTCAGCAATGTACGTAGTAAATGGGAACAAAGTAGACTACGCAATGCGGCTGATGGACAAAATGTGATAAACGGGCTGACGTTAACAAGTAAACCCTAAAACATTACTCCTTATGGGGACTGACTAGAAGGATAACCGACAAACCTGTTGATCGGAAGGAACTTTCAGGGACGTGAGTCCGTTAAAAGCAGGGACGAATGCCGCAGATGTGAAACTGTAGAACAACATTCCGATGTAGAATGGAATCTCACTGGGAGCTAGGCCGATGACGAGATAGGCAACAGCCTGAGATAGGATCGACTTAAAATAAAAACAGAAGAGTGCAAATGATTAGTGATTATGGAAATGTACGCCTAGGAACATCAAACTAATCCAGGAAACACCATGTAGATCAAACGTGAGGCGGCATGTTCAATAAATCGCTTAAATAAAATGGTGCCTGCGAAGCGAAGACCTTTTAAGGCAAGCAAATTTTGCATTACGACAAGTGCATTGGCCTGTGAATAAATGTGGAGGCCGTGAAATCTATCACTGGCCAGGGTACGTCATCACCAGCACGGATGATCCACTTTAGATCAATCGAAAGCTGATTTAGATACTGTTCTCCTCGAGATGCGAAGATTAAAGGACTTGAACACGAAAAAATAGCCGGGAGCTGGACAGTAAGGCAAAAGCACAGCAAGCTAGCTAGGCACGGGACAAAATTATTGGATCATCCCATCATATTTAATGGTCTGAAGAATCAAGGACTAAATTCTGCAGTTCTTCTAGCGGGGTCACTCATTCAAACGCCTAATCTTTTACATTGAAAACAACAGGTAACAGCCCGAAACTGCGAAAGATCGGGACTCCTTTAGTTCTACTAAGATATCCGTCAAAGACGAGAGTGATGGAGGATATACAAGCATGGCCCGTCAAAAAAATAGTTGTGGGCGCCAAACAAGATGTCTAGATAGTTATGCCAATTCGACTAGCTATCAAAAGTTGTCCTATAAACCCTCTAAATGCAACAACGGTGGTATTGGCTGCCAGGGTACGCAAGTCGGCTCCAAAAACGCGTAGAGGCGCTCGTGCAGACCCTGCCAAGCCCCAAAACTAATTAGCCGGAGCTCATATGCATAAC